GGTTATCTATCTTGGTTGGGGATTTTCAAGACCCATCTGGACAAAGCCCTAATCCCAGTGTTGACACTGCTTTAAGCAGGGAAGTTGGATGGGATGACTTAGCATGGTCCCTGCCAACCTGAGTGGTATATGTGTGTACTTGCGTACACACTTGCAGTTGTTTGTCTAAAGCTACGTAAGTTTTATTATAACTGCAGCAAGATTGCTGTTTAGTGTTTGGGATATTGTTTCTCTAAAAAGAAAGCTAATGTACTGCAGCAGATATTATAGTGAAAGATAAATTATGTATTCGGTTCTTATTAGATCAAAATAGTTATTAATTATGAACAACAGCAAAGTCAAAAAGTCTCACAATTGGGCATGGCAAACTGAAAACTGTAATGGTGTACTGCAGTTCCACTGAATGACATTACATATTGCCAACAGAATTGTAAGATATATAGATTCTGTCTTATGAAACTGCATTATTGAGATTCCTGGCAAAACTTCATAGCAGTTTAGACCCAAACAATAAATCAATGCTTAGTTTAGTACTAGAATAATATTGGGGGGGGGGAGGACAATGACTGGGAGTAGAAGGAATTGCACAGTTTGAATTTTAAAGTAAATTCTAGAGTAGTCATTGCCAAGTAAGAGTGCTAGATGTTTCTGGGTTTGATTTTTTTTTTTTAGATACTAATTTGAATTTAAATTGTAAGAACTATTGACAGCATCGATTTCATGTAGTATCTTATAAAAATGAAATGAGTATTTTCCAGAACTATTGTTTCCAGCTGCCCTCAGAATCCAGAACAAAATGTAGCAATTTGTACTGATGCACCATTTCACAGTTACTTTCACAACAGTAAGATCCAAGGCTATTTTAAAATCAGAAGATTTGACCTTTTAATACAGAATAATGGCAAAAGTATCTAATACAAATGGGGAACTTACGCAGGAGTCCAATTCACAGCATTCGGAGCAGTACTACTGATAATGTATTTACTAATCTGTCATTTTTAATTGGAAATGTGAAAAAAAGGTGTTATTTTTTGACATTCTATGAATTGTCTAATAATAGTCATACTAGTAACCGTACTGTTCCTTGCTGTTCTTTAGTTTTTCAGAATGGAATTATTTTCACAAATGGAAAATAGTTGGGGTTATTTTCAGTCATAAAAACTGTTCAACTACAATTTATTTAATACACATACATTTCATAAAATGAAGAATCAGTATTACTATTCCTTTAGCCTTCTTTTCTCTCAGGCATCCTTTTGAGAAACAACTTTTATAATTTTTTTTGCAGGTCATTGAATTTACTTTCTTAGAGATAGTTGTAAGAATTATAGAGACTGTTTGATGTGCTGTCTGCAATAGTAGAAAATGGGTTGAACACCCTCATTTCTTCCAGTGCATGTGCTAGTCTTTATTCATACAACTGAAAAACCTTAGAAGTTCATTTTGAAAGATTTATCTCCTAAAGAAAAGCAATCATTTTTAGCCAAACATTCAAGTTCCCTATGTTGTTTCATAAATAAGCTTTTATTATCAGCAACATGTTATTGAAAGTAGCATAGAACCTGTCATGTAGGCACAGTTCCACTCTGACAGATGGGCATAGTGTAGGCATGCCAGCCAACCATTCTATATATCACCTAACAGAGTATGAAGGGAAGAATTTTTGTCCAGGATTGCCACTGTGGCATTCAGTGCATGTAAGGCTTGAAGTTAAGGAAATGTGCTAGGACTGGTCCATCTCATAGGATGACCAAAAATTTAAAAATAGCCTGGGTTTTAGGTTCTGCTGGGTTTGTACTGGCAAAAGTGACCAGTTGCAATGAGGCTTCTGTTTCTTTTTGGCTGTCTGCTGAAGTCACCTAATGGGCTCAGCCAAAAAGAATTCTGCCACAGACACACATTTCTCCCTTATTAATTACCTAAGTATGGAAGCATAAGCAGCGTGTAATTACTCTTTTAAGAAAGCTGTTGTTTGTGACTACATACATATCTCTTTGGATATAGAATAGGAGTATGAGGATCTACTGATGTAGGATGAAATCCTAGTGTGAAAGTATGATTTAAAATAGAAAATTCTAAATAAGAATAAATCAGACTTCTGTAACTGAAGATTTGGATATTGAAATGCAGAATACTTTTGCAGGTTTTTAAAAATGCAAATCAGCTATTGCTTGGTTATTGGGGTTTGGGGGTTTGGAGTTTTTTTCTTTTTTTAAAGAAATTGGCTTAATGCCTTGTGCTTTATAAAGTAGCCAAGCACTGCAGGATTTTGGCAAATATACTTGTTTGAACAAATGCTTTTGTGTGTTACACTAGTCAATCTTTGTCATTTTTACCTTCCTCAGTATTTTTGCATAGCTTCATTTTTTTAATAATTTATTTTAGTCTGACTTGACCTTTAAATACCAACAGATTTTGTTAACTTTCCTGGAAGTTACGCTGATACGATTCATTTGTGCTTTTGGGGGAACTTGGTTTCTGTTGAAAAGTTTCTAAATTTGGGGAAATAATGGTTGCATGGTGCTGTCATTTACAAGATGGCACAGTATGTGAAAGAACAGGTGTGAAAAATGAAGTGAATAAAATTGCTTTTGAAATATAAATTGACATTTCATGGGCTTCTGTTAGGAGAATGTCTTTTCTAAACTGTACTGAGTATTTTCTTTTTAGCTTAATGTTTTCTTTCTGAAATGAAATTACATAATAATATTTAAGTAACACTTCTTTACATGCCTAGATTTAAATTAAAATTCATAATTAAGCTTAATATGAAATTATAAGATTTGATTAATGCTTTCCTCCAGTATCTGAACTTACGTTCACTGTATTGGAAGGTGCAGTCATCATTGAGAAGCTTTGTTCTTTTAACAGTAGGTACCAAAAATAAATTCAGTTAGGGTCATAGTGGTTTAGTTTAATACTGTTATGATAATGAGTACTATAATTACTTTCAGATAGTTCCTCCTTCCCAGAGGATGAGATTTTTAGTTTTGATGCCTGCTTAAAGCATAAGTATGACAGTAAAATTAATGTCATAACCTTTACAGCCTATTTATCGTTTTCTGTGTAGTATCCTAAAGGATTTTGTGTAACATCTGAAATAAATGTCTTAGTATGGACAAGCATCAAATTAGGTTAATTGGGTTCACCTGATATTCAAATTCAGTCTGTCTATCAGGACACCAGTTTCATATAAAAGACCTGTGGGTATCTTTCTGTGAAAATTGCTTTTAAATTATTACATGTATATGCTCTGCTTCCTTTGATTCTTAAAGACCAATTTACAGTGTATTTTTTTTTCCAGTTTATTTGATATTTTTGCTGCTTCTGGTTGAAAATTCATTTATCCTTTCATTCTGTGGTAACATAAGAAGTAGCATAGCCATGATAGAGCTTATTTTGTGGCATTAAGATAAATTTTACTCTTCAACTTAAACTCCACTTCACTTGAAATTCTTGTAATAGATTTCTTTTCATCTCTGACCACTCAGCAGCAGATTTCAAGAGAACTATTTTGAGTTCTGGAGTACTGCAGCTTGAATGGTTTTATTTATTGTCCTATAGTAGAGTTACAAACTGAACAAAACAAATTTTAAGATTATATAAAATTTTTAAAGTTTTATCATTGGGATAGGCTTTCAGGTGGATAAAAACTGATGTTAAAGCCAGATAGAAACAATCAATATCATTTGTATTTGGAAAGAACCAGTATTGGATTCAAATATAATCAAGCAAGACTGTAAGAGTGTTTGCCTCCCCATTAGTCAATAAAAATGACAGGATGTCCTGAATTATTAATGGTGTCCAACCTAAAATTTGTTCTGGACACAGAGTGCAAAACAGATACAAAATTTAGTTAATAATTTTATTTCTACAGTTGACTCTTTTTTGAACATCAACATGTTTCTGTGGAAAGTAGTCATGCCAAGCCAGATTTATAGTCAAATGGAAAAAAAAAAAATCCTGCTGAGAGAAGGTGTAAGTAGCTGTATAGATGTTATATCCTTCAACTTCTATGCTGTGAATTGAATCAGAATTTCAGAACTTTTTGATAAGACTGCAGTTTGGTGCATGTCCTAAACATAAATATATGCAGATATTCGTTATCTGTTAAACATGTTACAAGTTGGATCAAAGTTGTTAGAAATTGTCAATGAGAAAGGAACATGAATCATTATACCTGTAGTAACGTTGTGGTGGGACTGGTTCCAAGACTAGCACCAGGTGGTGATCAAAAAGACAGTCTTACTGTTGATAAATTTGAAAATACTGTGAAATGCAGACAGGGCAGTCACACAAAGTTACATGGTTTGCTTTTTAAACTGTCTTTGTATTCGAAGAAAACATGCTTTAATACAGCCATACACACAATGATGGATAGAAAAATTTGAAAGAATGATGATAAGCTTGCCATGACTTCAAAATCTTGAGCTGTTCAGTTTTTCCAAAAAGGAAGATTACTTGATTAAGTATTTGCAAAAATAAAGGACAGTGAAAGGTTCTTTGTTGTAATAACAATAAAAAAAAATATATATGAATGGGTAGAAGATGAAAATTTAATTTGAGAAATTAGACTTTTTTTTTCATTAACAGTAGCTGATCAATGTAATAGTCTGTCAGATAAGCACAGGATTTTCTAGATCAAGACCATTACTTTACTGCAGTTAGGGTTGAATCCAAATCAGAGATGCCTGTACAAAATACTTGGATTTGTATGGTCCAATTTTCTGTCTTAGCATTAGGGTTTGTGAATGCTTGGAAAATGATGTGGAGCTTGTGTTTGCACATAGTATTCTAAGAATTATTGACCTGTATCCTGATGTATGGTTTGTTTGGTATAATTCGAAGAGGAAATAGTAATTGTAAGTGAGGCACCCTTTAAAATGATTTAATGCTCCCTACAACTGGGAGGGACCATGAAAACCTATAAAAATGTGAATTCAGAATAATAATTTTGAGAACTTTCATTTGAACATCATTTCTTACACTGTTTTTTACAGGAGTGTGTGTTGCTGCAACTATTTCAGTACGCTTTAAAGTGTTGGAAATCCTAAAATGGAAGAAAAACTTCTGATTTTTTTTTTTTTTTCTGTGAAAAGATCTTGTTGAGCAATGCGGCCTTAAAGAAGGATGTCTTACACGGTGGGTAACAAATTCAAAATCCATGCTGGTTCCTAGAGGAGTTTTGCCATTTCAAAATTATATCGATGTTGTATGTTCTGTTCTTGCAGGTTAAGAGGGAGTTGTTTGTATGTTGCCACTACATGAAACTATGCATAGATAAGCCAACATATGTTTGTACACTGGGTCTGGCAGATCGGGGGTTGACTGCTTAAGTACCACGGACAGAGGCTCTGTGAGGCAGCCTGGGCTCTGCTGAGCCCCATCTGCAAGCCTAAGCCAGGAGGTGCTGATGGCATGCAAGAACTTATTACATATGGCTCAGTGCAGGAGATGCAGGGACCAAAGAGCCTCACCTGTTTGTTGTGTGAGAGGTCTCTTCACAAAGGCCACACCCAATTTCCCTTAATGCTTTGGTATTGAACTTCCTGGAAATGGAATTGGTTTTGCCTCTTATACTGCTGCCCACAGAACCATCTCCTTCCTGGAACCTCTCCATTGCTGTTTGAGAGTCAATTGTATGATAGTAAGGAAACATATTCAGGGCTCATTTTTGTGTTTGGTAATTGCATCAGGATTTGTCCAAACTACTTTTATATTTATTCAAAAACAATCTCTTGGTACTTCATGTGGTTAGAGGGGGGGGCTCCTGAGTGCATGTTTGGAATGTTCTTTATATAAAATTCTACTGGCTGTTAAATTGGCCAGGAAAGTAAGCAAACTCCACATCTGCACAGCTGGCTCTACTCATTGGAAATGTTATCGATATGCACTGGTATGAAAGCCTAGATCCAAGAAGACCCCCAAGTAGTTGGAGTTTCATCTGATGGTCAGTAGACTTGTCTGTTACCTTCCCAAAGTCTCCAACTGCATCAGGAGAACAAGAGTTTTATATCCTGTGTGACTTCTAACATGTTAGTGGTGTTCAGCTGAACCAAGCTATTATGCAGCCATTCAGAAAGCTAGACCATTATATGATAAAGAGAATCTAAGTGGATAATAACACAATTTTATATTGTTGTTATGTTATACTTTGTCTTTCTTACTTGACTGCTGAATCACACTTGGCCCAAAGGTTAAGCACCACACCACACTGGAAAGAAGTAGCCAACTCTTAAGTTACTGAGTGGCCACTTGATGTAATGCTATTTTATGTCAAACGTTATGTACCAAATTTTGCAGTAAGTGCCAACGTCAAATTCAGGAGAGGTGGTGATGTAATGTTTGTTTCACAAATGTGAGCTAATATCTTAATTGTAGCATTAATGGAAGATCTACTCATCAGTCAGTTATATAGGATCCATGAAGTCAGATGTTTGAAGGAAAATGATTGCTTAAACCTACATTGTGATTCTTCAGAATGCATTGTCACATTGGAATTCATGGCATGTCCTCTTTTCTGGCTTTAATCGGGGTTTTCAATTACAAGAAGCCTAAGTTAGTTGTACCCAGTGTTGAAGTATGAAGAGTGCATATAAGGGTATGTGTGATCCAGAAAAACACTTGGTTTAAAACTCCAGTAGTGTTTTGCATGAGGTATGGGCATACTGGGATCCATTCTGAAATAAAATTTTGAAAAACTATCGTCATTTTTCTATTTTTTTTTCTTTTTTTACTTTATGAAAAATTGTAAAATTGTCAGAATTTCTAAGTATCTGTATTTCTTCTTTCCAGGAACATTGTAACTATTAAAGGACATAATGCAGAATCCTTTAAATTTTTCTGCAGGTATAGTATACTTTCTGTACTTTTTTTGAGAAATTAGATGCCTGTGATTCAAAATGTGTAAAAAAATCATAATTAATAAATCACTCTATAACTTGTGTCTACTATTCTACATTAGTATAGTCTTAAAAAAAAAAAAAAAAGCCGTTGTATTGTAGCATTTATCACTTTAAACAATTGCAATAGCTAAGATTGTTTTCTTCTTTAGGACATTGGGAATTACTGTTACCACCTATAGTTGAAACTTTATAAATCTGCTTCTTGTTTGATTCAGTAGAATTAAGTGTTCAGAGTTAATTACAATTTTTTATCTTCATATATTTGAAAATCATTGCAAGTTCATGGAAAATCTGTTTGCAAGTTATGCTGCAAGACTAGCACAAACATGAAGACAATTTTTTTCTAAATATAAACTACGATTTTTAGACTCTAAGTGCCTTTTTTCCAGCATTCCTAGCCTTACTAACATCTTTTGTGTTTAACTGTATTTCTTCTATATTTTGTCTCTTCAGAAGTCATCTTCTGTTGATTTAGTTTTCAGTAGGGTTAACATCTTGAATTTTTTCCTCTGTTATTAGTAAGGGTATTTGTGCTGCAACTTGTATTCCCAAGCCTCTAAATGTGCCATAACTTTCATTTCCTTTGCCTTTCGATCTGTGTCACAATGCTAATGTTTAAATATGATTTTTAACTTGAATGTCATTTTTAATGAAACTTCTTAAATGTGAGTGAATGATGGATATGACATAAGCTCTAATGGACTTTTCAGAACCATTGCAGGTTGTCAGTTAAGTTTTCATTGTTAGTATGTATGTTAATTAAGAAATGCGCTATATATTACTTAACTTGAAGCCTTGAGCTTTTACTGTCATGTAAGTTTATACTTTACATGTTTTGTGAAGACTGAGTATTTTTATGGTACTGTAATAATTCTGAGGAAGCTATTCCAGAAGGATGTCATGAAAATTGATCTTAGTTGATGAGTTCTGTGTCTAATGGGACTATTCTTTCAAGGGAGTACTTACTGTTGTATAAAGCTGTCCACTCTGCAGTGTGCTCTACGTCTATGTGCTTATGACTGAAATGCTTAATTCTAATACTTAAAAGCCTTAATTCGATTTTTCCTTTAAGTAACAGGAATTTGACCACTGTTATAGTCAAATTGAATGTGTTACCTTTATGTTAATATCATTTTGGAATAACAGGAGGACAGTATAGACTGTGAAGCTATTTGCAGACTTGAAACTGATGAATCATTTGCTTTGAGATTTTTTTTGGAAGGCTTTTTTTTTTTTTTTTCTAAACAAAAATCCATATCAGTCAGAATCCTGTTACCAGCTTGCACCCAGAGTGAATTTTAGCAGCCATGTTTTGAGCTTTGGAAGTGAGGGTTCACATTTGAAATCATGACCAGATCCTGACCAAGAACTGTATCAATGTGAAATCATGATCTAGAAATAGACTAGTCTCAGTATATTTTTTTGTATTCTTTTACTATCACTCTTTTTTGTCCTCGTATCTAGCATCGCTTTTGTTTATTAAATGTGTTCAGGCACTTTGAAAATGTTGAGGCTATTAGCAATTTAAAATGATTTATGTACAACTATAACATTGGTACATTTCTTGCAGATTAAAGGTTTGAAAATAAATAGTATTTGAAGTAGAACCTATCCATCAGTTAGATTCAGTTTAGCATTTTTGTCAATCTTTCCCTACTTTGAAAGTGCTCGTTATTTTTCAGTTGAGTATGGAAGTAATAGTTAGTGCAAGTTCTTTGAGTGACAACATAAACCCTTCACTGCTACTATTTGTCATGTAATAGTAGGAGTTCTGTAATTTGATACATATTCCTTCAGGGCATCTGTATTTTTCTCAATCTAAAATATAAATTATAATCACCTTTCTTATAAAATATAACAGGCAGTTGTATCTCCATATTCAGACAGATGCATTTTTCTGAATAATGATAAATATTTAACTTCTAAGATTTAATTTTTTTCCTAGAAATTATGAAATTATCATTGAAGCATCATATTCTGTCATTCACACTCACGTTCTATTTGCTGTTGAGCAAGTCCTGGGGTTTTTTTATACTGCTTCATAAAGATATAAAATACCAGTGTGCCTTAGAGAAACGAAATACCTTTGGAATTGTCAGACTTATAAAACATTTTTATTAAATTGCTCTAACATGAAATAATTGTATATCTTAGAGAGTAGTTGTGCAAAATATTAGGCTGTCCTGGTTTATCTAGGAATTCATTTAATGCTTGTTTGTCTTTTTAAAATACACACTGGAAAAGTATATTACAGGCTGAGATCATAGTTTTGCTCCTTGACAATGTTTATTTTAATTTTTTTTTTAAATCATACAATTTTTTTAAAAGCCATTGCGTAGTTTAGTACATTTTATATCCATGTTAGTATGGTCATTTGGTGCTGGGGGATCTCAAACTTCAATTAGCCATGTAAATGTGTTTCTTAGCATCAGATCTCACGTTGCTGGAACCCCTGCTGCTTTTATATCATTAACATAAATGCAGGTGCAAATAGCATTTATGTACTTTGATAGAAAGCAGTTGGAGACATACCACTGTGGGACACGACACTTTCAGATTGTGTACATCTGTTCAGATAATGTATCCAAGCCAGTGACATGAATGCAAGGATAAAAACATCTGCCCCTGAGACCATTTGCCATACAGCAGATGCTTACATCTTTATTTATGCAGATGGTTTGTGTGATGAGCTGAGCAATGATGAAAGCAAGGAAGTTTGACAAAGATTTCAGGGTATTGCTTGGGATGGGAAAATATGTTGGTAACAGGGCTTCATTTTCAGATGTCGACCAAAAGAAGAACATCTGTTATAAATCCTGATGTTTTTAGTAACATGGATGTGTTATTTGGGACATTAACTAGATTAACGCAAAATCAGTAAAGGATTTTTTGGAAAGAAAAAAACAAAAGAAGAAAAAAACCCACAAAAACAAAACCAAACAAACACAAAAAACAAAAACAAAACCAACCAACCAAACAAACAAAAAAAAACAAACCACAAAAAAACCCCTCTCACAAAAATTGTACTGCAGTTACGGATACCAAGTAGCTTAATAGAAGTAATTACTTTTAATAGGAAGACTCAACTGCTTTGCTTCAGGGTGTTCTCAAGTTATTCAAAACATTTAATTGACTGAAATTTGCAAAAGGTAGAATATTTTGAAATGATAACCTGTCACAAAGTTGTTCAGAGGTTGTGTGCGGTGCTGTAGAAGATTTCATGACTTTGGGGATTTTTCCACAGAAGTTGTACTTAGTGCTACAAAACTATTAGATGAGTAGTTTAGCCGTTCTGTTTGAAAATGACTGTAGGGTGGTCGACGTGAGTCGCAGATCTAAGCTGAGCTGGCACATCAAAGGAGGAACAGAAAGTGCCCCGGTGTGGCCTTGCCGGGCCCGAGGCCGCGGTGACGGGCGCCCGACTCCCCCTGCTGGACTCTGCGCCAAGGGGCTCCTTTGTCTGCCGGCACACGCCAGAGACACGTGAATTTAATTAGAAATGTGCTGATAGTTCGGCACACGGCAAGTTAAGGATATTATCTTTGGCCTACATTCCTGTTGACTGCATTCCTGGTTTAATTCCCTCGTATGTTAGCACCCATTACAAGCGTTGGCTGATACATTATCACTTATCAGCAGTGTACTCAACCAATTCTTTTACACCACATCCAGTACCTTCTTTTGAGAACCGGTGCTGCCTTTAAACAATACAGTGGCTAACATGGGCAAGCTTAGCAATGCTAATAAGCATTGCAAATAATTGTAATTATGCACAGGGGGAGGAAAAACATTCAGATACCATAATTTAAATTTTCTGCTACATCCTACTGCCAGAAAGACATAGCTATGCTAAGGTTCAGCAGCAAGTGGTAATTTTATGTGTTCTGAAAAGTAATGTCTTCCTAGCCAGGACCATAGTCTTTCTGATGATGTTTTAGCTTTGCTTTGCTATACAGGGTTGTGTCTGTCCTGGAAAAAATACACATACCTATTTGAGGTACTGTGGAGATCCTCTAATCTTTATTTTTGTTTTAATCCTTAGTGGAATTGACTAAAGGTGGCAATGTTTTGCATATCTCAGCCAGAACTGTAGCGTCCTGTTCTGAAGAAAATTGGGTCATGAAGAAAGAAAAGGGGGGACAGCTAGAGCAAGCAAAAACCCTGGATAGAGATTCCCCAAGTTAGATCACTTAAGTAATTTTGAAATTAAATGAACTATTTACAAAATCCCTCAGAAAATACTCTATGATCAAAGTTTAACAATGTGTTCTGTCCCTTTCTTTGGGGAATGATAAACCCTGTGTATAGTTTGTACTGGAAGACTCAAAGTAGGGCAAGGCAAGGCTGACAGTCTTCTGATCCTCTGTTCATCTTTAATGAGGGAGCACATTCTGAGATTGTACTACAGAAGTCACCACACAGGTGTTTTTCATGCCTTATGTAAAATATATTTGCTCTGTTGAGCCAAAGTGGTGAATTAATTTTTTTCTCTTGCATACAGGCTCTCTTCAGAAAGCAGTGCTCTGATTTTCACAAAAAAAGTGTTACTTCATAAAAGGAATAACAATTTTGATCTTCTGTTGTGCTCTCTATTTGCACATCGGTATTTGCAAAAATAAATTTTGGGAGTAAGAAGCATAATTCCCATAGTGCAATTAGATGTACATGTTTTCTGTCCCATGGAAGGAAGGGAGGAAGGCTGAACTCTCAGTGTGACAAAGATAGATTCTGTTCTCAGCTTGTTTGAATGGGGAGCAAGAGTCTAGTCAGAAGATATTTCATGATTTATTAATAAAATGTTTCTATCTGACCTTTTTGTGCTGCAGAGTTTCTGAAGAATTCTGCCTTTGTTTTTGTAGGAGACCTGGTCATTATTCATAGAATGATTTGGGTTTGAAGGGACCTTAAAGACATCTAGTTCCAACCTCCCCTGCCATGGGCAGT